TAGTAGAGACTGGATCTCGCTTTTGTTCAGGCTGATCTTGAACTCCTGAGCTCAAGTACTCCACCTGCCTCAGCCTCCCACAGTGCTAGGATTACAGGCATAAGCCACCATGCCCAGCCTGTATTTAATTTCTTAACTGTAAGAACTCTCTCACAAAAAGGAAGCAGTTTTGTGCAAGTAGTGGCTTTTGGGGGCTTCATGGGGGTTGTTTGTTTGTTTGAGACAGAGTCTCCAGGTGTTGCCCTGGGTAGAATGCCATGGCGTCAGAGCTCACAGCAACCTCCAACTCTTTGGCTCAAGTGATGTTCTTGTCTCAGTTTTTCTATATTAGTAGAGACGGGGTCTTGCTTTTGCTCAGGCTAGTCTCAAACTCGTGAACTCAAGCTATTCACCTGCCTCGACCTCCCAGAGTGCTAAGATTACAGGCGTGAGCCATCTTGCCCAGCAGTGGGTAGTGTTTTTAAATACTTCTGTGTTCCCTCATGTTTAGGGCAAATGAACCACTTTTTCTCATAGTTTTTGTCTTATTTTAAGATAATGCATGAACAAGGAAAAAATAAACCAGAGTTCAATAGGATATGACCTGAAAAGTAAGTCTTTTCCCACCTTTGATAGCCCAGTGGTTCTATTTTTTTTTTTAAAAAAAACAGGTCAGTCGTGGCACAGTAAGTGACCCAAAAGTAGTTCCACAATTGAAACTCAGAGTAGCAAGACAAAGATGATACATTTTATGATCTCTGTTAACAAGTTCATTAAACTTTCATCTGCCCTTCCAATAACTCTAATGACTCAGAAGAAAATGTGACGAATACTGGATGTCATGATACAGGATTTGCTTGGATATAACACCAAAAGCATAGGCAGTGAACAAAAGAAAAAATAGATTAGTTGGACTTTATGAAAGTTTAAAAGTTTGTGCAATAAGGATACTATAAACAGAATAAAAAGAAATACAGAATGGAAGAAAATACTGCAAATCGTGTATTGATGAGAACTTGTATCTCGAATATATAAAGAACTACAACTCAACCAAGAAAACCAATTCAAAGACGGGCAAAGGACTTGAAAAGACATTTCTCCAGGAGTGTATAAACTAGTGCTCAACATCACTAGTCATTGAGGAAATGCAAATAAAAACCACAGTGATATACAGGTGATGGGTATAATAAAAACCCAGACATCACCACTGTACAATTCATCCAGACAACCAAAAACCACTCATACCCCTAAATCTATCAAATTTTTTTTAAAAACCCACCATGAGGTATCATTTTGTACTTATGAGGATGGCTGTTAGCAAAATAATAGTGTTGGTAAAAATGTGGAAAAAATTGGAACCCTGTACTTGGCTGGTGGAAATGTAAAATGGGGCAGCCATGGTAGAAAACAATATGATTCTTTAAAAAATTATACATAGATTATGTTATGATCCAGTAATTCCACTTCTGGGTATATGCTCAAGTGAAAATAGAAATTCAAACAGATATGTAGACACCCATGTTCATAATAGCATGATTCACAACCCAAGTGTCCATTAGAACAGTATGTGGTCCATAATATACAATAAAAATGTAAGTCAGCCTTTAAACGGAAGAAATTTTTGATACATGCTGTAGGATGTTTAAGCCTTGAAAACTTCAAACAAATACTGTATGATTTTTCTTTTTTCTCTTCCCCCGCCTTTTTTTTTTTTGGAGAGTGCCATGGCATTAGCTTAACTCATAGCAACCTTCAAACTCCTGGGTGCAAGCAATCCTCCTGCCTCAGCTTCCCAAGTAGCTGCGACTACAGGTGCCCACCACAATGTCTGGCTGATTTTTTCTATTTTTAGTAGAGATGGGGGTCTCCCTCTTACACAGGATGGTCTGGAACTTCTGAGCTCAAGCCGGCCACCCTAGGATTATAGGTATGAGCTACTGTGCTGGCCAGGATGTCTATATTCTTTTGTTAGCGAAGGCCTTTCTAAGCAGACTCCCAAGACCAGAATCTTAAAGAAAAACTTTTTAGATATAATACACAAAACATAACTCCTGCATGGTGATAATAAAATAAAAGCTAAAGGGAAAATTGCATAAACTTAATAGATGTACCACAAAAGTCACAAATACTCTCTAAAGCAGGGGTGTTCAACCCGTGGCCTACAGTCTGCATGCTATTTTTGTGAAACTTTTTATTGCTTATATGTGGTGCCAGACATCTACATCATGAAAAGTATGCACAAATGCGTTTGCTAATCCGCTTTTGTTAGTGTTTGCATATTTAACTTGTGGCCCAAGACAACGCTCTTCTTTCAGTATACTGCAAAGAATAAAAAAGATTGGACACCCCTTATTTATTTATTTATTTTTTATTTTTTGAGTCAGAGTCTCCAGCTATTGCCTTGGAGTGTCGTGGTGTCACAGCTCACAGGAACCTCAAACTCTTGGGCTTAAGTGATTCTCTTGCCTCACCCTCCCAAGTAGCTGGAACTACAGGCGCCCACCACAATGCCCGGCTATTTTTTTGTTGTTGCAGTTGTCATTGTTCTTTTAGCTGACCCAGGCTGGGTTTGAACCTGCTAGCCCTGGTGTATATGGCTGATGCCCAACCAACTGAGCTATGGGTGCCATTGACACCCTTCTTTAAAGTTTTAACAGTTTTAATTTCTTGGAGGTTGAATCACAGGTAACCTTTCTTATGTACTATTTAATTTTTAACCATGTAACTTACAATCATCAAAAATAAAGATTTTCGGGAGGCACCTGTGGCTCAGTGAGTAGGGCACTGACCCCATATACCGAGGGTGGCGGGTTCAAACCCAGCCCCGGCCAAA